AAATATGCATAAAAATGATATGGTCAAAATACTCACTTGCCTAATAATTGTGCACACAGTGTATATCTGTGTGCGTGTTTTAAAGCATTTCAAGAAAATAGATTCATTTTTTTCTCCCTTCTTCATTTATGCTAGTTAATCAGGGCTTGATTATATTGGAATGTCCTAAAGAACGAAGGATTACTCCACCCTCTTATTTTAAGTGGAAAGTCCAGAAAAGATGAACAGTGCTCATGCTACAATCATGTAAAATCTCCGTTAGTAATTCTGGCCTACTATATATGTTAAGTCAATATTTACAATGATGTAAGCTAGGGCTGCAAATTCATTGATTCATTCATCCAATTTATATGTCTGCCCAACTTGCCATAGAAACTCTGGGTAGCTAATATCAACTAAAACATAATACAAAAATAAATCACAATACATCTATAAAAACCTATAATGGCAACTGAGGACAAACACAGAACAATGAAATAACATCTCACAGGCTCTCACTAACCATGCCCCGGAACACATCCAGGTCTTCAAAACTTTTCAGAAGCCAACAGAATTGGAGCCAATCTAAGCTCATGGAGTATGGTGTTCCACAGGGCAGGCACTGTGACAGAAAAGGCTCTTCTTCTGGGTCCCACTAGGTGACACCCTTTAACTGAAGGGACCCGAAGCATGCCTCTCCTGTCAGATCCAGTGGGACAGGTAGAAACAATAAGAAAGAGACAGTCCTGAAAATAATCCAGCGCATGTCATGAAGAGCTTTATAGGTGACCAGCAGTGCCTTTAATTGCACCTGGAAGCACACGGGAAGCCAGTGCAGCTTACGTAACAGAGGTGTAATATGGGCATATTGAGGTGTACCCGTAACTGCCTGTGCCATTGGACTTGTTGCAGCTTCTGGATGTTCTTCAAGGACAGCCCCATATAGAACATATTGCAGTCATCCATTTGGGTGGTGACCAAGCATGAGTGACTAAGCAGTGCCTCCCATTCCAAGAAACACACAATTGATGCACTAGACAAAGTTGTGCAAAGGCTCCCTTGGTCACAGCTGTCACATGTTCCTCAAACTGTGAACATCTGAGCTGTGAGCCCAGGAGGACCCCAAATTGCACACTGAGACAGAATCTCTACAGCATCCCTTGGTCGGCCTGGGACAGAGACATAAACCAGTCCCAGGCCGACCAATCATCAGCATACTGACATATATCATATCATATCAGTTCAGATCAGATCAGATCAGATCAGCATGCCAATATATCATCAGCATACTGACAATACTTCACCCTGCGCTGATTTTTATCTTCCCCAGCGGCTTCAGATAGATGATAAATTGGAGTGGGGAGAGCACCAAGCCGTGAGGGACCCCACAAAAAAGGATCCATGGGCTAGATCTCTCTCCCCTATCTACACTGACTGGAACCAACCCCGGAGGAAGAAGAACCAGTGCATCACTGTACCTCACACTCCCAAGACCCAAAGCAAGTCTAGAAAGATGCCATAATCAATGGTATTGAAAACCACTGACAGATCATGGAGAACTAGGATGGATGTACCACCCCCACACATCCTGCTCCCTCCAGAGATCATCCACCATCACGATGAATGCTGTTTCAGTTCTGTGCCCAGGACTAAAACCCAGTTGGAAGGGGTCCAGATAATTCACTTCCTCCAGAGTTCTCTGAAGCTACTGCTCAACCACCTTCTCAACAATGATCTTTTTCCTGTGGGCTTAACACCTCTAATTTTAAGTGATGTCTTTGTTCCAACTTGGTGTGAGACATTGCGTGAGAAACTGAAGGGCTATGGTTTCTCACTTAATGCAAGCCTGAAGATGGGGTATGAATGTACAGAGGCAGCCCTTAATCAGCAGGCCAAGGATTTGGAAGCCCAGTCAGACCTGGCTGTCATACCCAAAGATGTGTTCTTAGACAGTGATTCATCTTTTTTCAGCTCAGCTAGATATCTCAGCCAAATAATTATTCCCAAATTCAGAAGAGCCCTTACTCTGACAAGATTTAATGCCTTCCCAATGGCTCAAGAGGAAACTACAGGGCATTCCATATGAACAAATATTTGGCCCCTGTGGTGAAGGAGCTCCTGAAGTACTGACCCATGTTCTTTCATGTTGCTCTTATTACTAAGATGCCTAGTTGCAAGCAATACAACATCTAGTCAGATTTCCAAGCCACCTGGATCCATTTTATTACAGCTGCTGTTATCCAATCAATGTAATCTTATTTCTCTTAATGTGACTAGTTTTGTTTTACTCTTTGTAAAATATGTCACAACTTGAGCTCACCAGTTTTTTTTTTTTTATTATGGTTTAATTTGCTGCCCACACTTCATTTTCTTTCTGTTTTTGAGCTGGTCTACAACTGTAATAAAGTCTCTTGTCTTGCCTTACCTTGTCTCAACAACATTCCCTAAAAAGGGGAGGTTGGAAATAGGACAAAAATTGTCCAATATAGTTGGATCCAGTGATGGCTTCTTGAGGAAGAGGTAAACCACTGCCTCCTTAAGTGCTGCAGGACCAACCCTTCTCTCAAGAATGAATTAACTACCACTAAGACCCAACCACATGTTGTCTCCCAGGAAGCCTTGGCTAACTAACCAGGAGGGATCTAACACATAAGTGGCTGAGCTAACAGTTCCAAGAACCCTGTCCTCTTCATTGGGGCCAACCAGATCAAACTCACCCCAGATAACCAAGCAGGACTGAACCTCAGTAATCTCCATGGGACCTGCGTCAAAGCCAGAGCCCAACTTGGAGCAAATCCTAGTGACTTTATCTGGTAGCTGCATAGCATATTCCTCACAGTGGTCCTACAAAGGACACTCCCACCCCCAGCTTTACCTTCCTTAGAAGGGACCAGGCCACTCTAAACAGGGCTGCTGGGTAGCTATCTGAGGGCACAACAAGAGCAGAGAAATACTGGTGTTTTGCAAATACAAGGTAGGTCTTAATAGCAGCTCTAGCTTGTGCTTGGTCAGATTCATCCCTCATTGTCTTCCAGTGACACTCTAGGCACATATTCTCCCATTTCATCTCCCTCAGCCCCTCTGTAACAAAAGGAGCCCTGGGATCTGTGGGAGAAGAGAAGCTGCATAGGTGAGATCCAATCCAGAGGTCCAGCTGCCCTCTCATTCCAAGCGGCGACTTTGGTCAGACCATGCACCAGATTTTCAGGAACAACCCCAAGCTCCTTCTGCAACCCAGTGGGGTCCATCAAACATCTGGGGTATGGAACCTGTCTCTACAAATATTCTGCTTGTTTCTGGTTCAGAAAAAAACTTTAGGCAATACTGACGTTAGGTAACTACTGGTTCCAACACTAACCATTGCAACAGCTCTTTTCATCAACATATTATCACCACTGTGAGTGTTGATGGATGAATTGTCTTTGCACCAAATATTGCATGCTTCTCTGTAGGGTCAGAGAAGACAGTCACCTGACATCCTAAGACAACAGCATTTTATGTGGCCCGTGAACAAAGTGTTTTCTCATACCTCTTGTTGATGATTTGTTGCCTTTTTCTCTTCCATTGCCAATGTTCTTGTCCTAGTGTTATGAGTATTGGAGGTTAGAAAATAAATTAATAGGTGAGAATGCAGAATAGCATTAAAAAATTTTTAGGAAAATCAGAATATAAGTTTTGAGAGGCAGTATCCAGAGCAGCACCTAATATTCCAAATAAGTTTGCCCTATAGATGTGCACAAAACCATTTGACATTGGCAGATTTGCTTTTTTTTTTTCATTGATCGCCTTCATAGAATTAGCCCATTTCACAGCAGATGCCTCTGGATCATTTCCACTGAGTTATCTACTGTACCTCCAAAGAACATTCTATGATTAGAATCCTTAGACCCACCAATGTTGATGTATATTTACAGTTATACTGTTGTAGTAATATACATTGAATTACAGGTAGTACTTGACATATGACTGTTCAGCAACAGTTCGAAGTTACAGCGGTGCTGAAGGAATGGTGATTACGACCAATCCTCGGTGTTCCAGCCCTCCCAGCACCCTCCCAGCCATGTGATCACTATCAGGGCACTTGGCAACCCGTTCACACTTCTGAACAGTTGCCAAACACACTTCTGAAAGGTTGCCAAACGCCCTGCGATCACGTGATCACCATTTGCAACCTTCCCTGCCACTTTTCCAGAAAGTTAGTGGGGAGTTTCCCTACCCATGCACTTTCCCCCAGCCCCTCTGTGCTCATGGCACACAGATCATTCGTGCACCCCCACGTACCCTCCCCAACCCTCACCGTGCCTCTCTTGCACTTTCACAAACCAGAACATTGTAAAATGTGTGTCTAGGGGAGGGTGCTAAACTCTTTGAGAATGTAATATAAAATTCTGAAAGAGAAAGTCGGAATTGCTATCTAAAAATTTCTCACCTCCTCAGTCCTTCCTGAAGATATTGATTTTCCTCACAGAGTTTCTTATTCTCCTCCTCAAGTTGGAAAATCATGTCTCTAAGTTTGTAAATCATCTTGACATTTCTGTAAAATATCAAGTCCAGAGTGAAATTAGCTGCCTCAATTTTTTACTTGAATCATCAAAAAAAATTTTAAATTAAAAAAAATTAAAAATAATTTGTATTTTGAGTGTTATACATGACAATCAAAATACAAAGTGCATTCAGCTCTATAAAGTCACTAAGACCATATCTGTACATTGTAATTAATTCACTTTTCCTATTTCCATTACAGCAGCCAGCAATCTTTTATTACAGGAACCAAAGCTTTACTGATTTCATTGGGTCCTTTAGAAATGCTCTCAGTCAATCTTATGACAATCAAAATACAAAGTGCATTCAGCTCTATAAAGTCACTAAGACCATATCTGTACATTGTAATTAATTCACTTTTCCTATTTCCATTACAGCAGCCAGCAATCTTTTATTACAGGAACCAAAGCTTTACTGATTTCATTGGGTCCTTTAGAAATGCTCTCAGTCAATCTTCCCAGACTTTAGTTATACATACATGATATTCTTAAGGGATTTTATTAGTATCTTCAGTAGAGTTTGATTATTTAAATAGAAGTGAATGATTATATAATATATTAATACTGCCAAGGAGTCTTTAGATCTAAACACTTTTTTTCTCTTTGCATACCACAACTCGCACAATCCAACTAAAAACAATGTCCAGAAGCAAAGTAAAGTTCTGGATGTAGCGTATGGGAAAAGTTTTCCCTGAGTTCCCAAATGCCAAACTGTAAAAATTTCTCACCTCCTCAGTCCATCCTGAAAATACTGATTTTCCTCACGGAGTTGCTTATTCTCTTCCTCAAGTCGGAAAATCATGTCTCTAAGATTGCAAATCATGTCAACGTTTCTGTAAAATATCAAAATCAGAGTGAAATTAGTTGCCTCAATTTTTTACCTCAATCATCAAAAATGTTTTAAAATTAAAAAAAAATTAAAATACTTTGTATTTTCAGTGTTATACATGGGAAAAGTTCTCCCTGAGCTCCCAAATGCCAAGTGGTTACTGTAGCCCAACAAGTTGCTTTCTCAGTGATTTATGCAGTACCTTGTTTGTGAGGTAGTATGAGATCATAACTGGAAAAATAAAATTGGCAATCATCATCTGAGGCTTCATTTAAAATACAAACTCAATCATTGCTATTCCCAGCTTTTTTGTCAAAGCTTTAGCAGAAGAGTACAATTTTCATCACTTCTCTTCTGATGTGAACAGAAAGATGGAGGAGACTGAGTTTGTCTGGGTTGAAATAAAGAACAGAGCTGAGGTCAATGAACAGCAGAGTAGTAGTGGGAGATGCAACCATGGATCTCCTGAATTATAGATAATTTGGCCATGAATATTCTGTGTGGAGAGATTCATGATGTCTGATACCCATCCGGGACCCAGGGCTCACTTCTGCTCTTTTGCTATGGCTTTCTCACCTCAGTTCAAAACGGTGGTT